GCCTAGCCTAGCCGGCTGCCCAGAACCCCAGCAGAGAGACCCACCACCACCACCGCCACCCCCACCCCGGGTGTCCCCTGAGCCCCTCTTCTCTCCCCCACGCAGCTACGCCAACTCCATCCTCCAGCTGGAGACAGAAATGTTTGAGAAGTTCTTCCGGCAGATCGAACCCAAGGACTTGGTGCCGGAGAAACATGGCTCGTCGCTGGACTTGGGACAAGTGGCCTACGTAAGCGGAGCAGTTATTGATGGGGCGGCTTCCAAAGTGAGGCTGGTCTGGCCCAAAAACACACACACACACACACATATTTCTTTTCCACCAGGGCAACTTGAAATAGGACCAGACCAATAAAGCAGAAAACAGGCAGCCGGGGTTAGCAGCCGACCTTCCTCCGTTTTGGTTACTCCTGCATTTTGTATATCTGGCTGTTCACTGACCAGCAAGGCCACTCCGCCCTGTTCCCACATCAGCTTTCGTTGGGTCACAATCCTGGTTGCAATTTTGGGCCTGGTGATTTCGGAGTAGGTCCCACTTTTTAGAGAGAGAAACTTACTTCCGAGTCTATATGCATAAAACCAAACTGACAGTCATTCCTGTATCCGACTGACCCCAAACTCCATTGGAGGTTTCTAACGATCAGTCCCCCGCTAAAGGTCAGTCGAAAGGAAGAAAATCTGTGCCCCTTTCTTGGCAAATGCCAAAGCCTGACAGCAACATTTTGTGACTCTTGCCCCAGACTCGTGCATGACCGCAGGCTTTTTCTTTGGGTTCCAGATACGAGGCAGACGCAAATCTAAGTCCCGAATGACGACAGACCGCCTGATCTGCCTGACGGTGGAGCAGAAATGCGACATCGCTCAGAGAGAGCTTGAGGAGACCAAGGAAGACACTCAGCGGATGAAGGAGAGATCGGAGAAGATCTTGCAGAATTACCTGGTATGGTTGGCCGTGAAGATGGGAATGGGAATGGGTTTGATCCGTTGGATTGGCTCACTGGAGGGTGGGTTCTGCTCTCACTGAGTCAGCTGTTTACCTCCGGACGAATCCATAGCACAGAGGTTGGGCCGATCTCTCCATCCCAGGCGACAGACTTAGATTGCCTGTTCCAACAAACAGGGTGCCTGACTCTCAGGTAGACTCTGCGGTTGATCCCCCTGAGCAAGGAGCTCATCTGTTGCACAGCCACGTTTCCTTCCCTTCCCTTCTTCCTTCTGCTGTCCCCTGTTTCACTCCAGATTCACACAATGCGGCGTGGGCTTTGTTCATCCCTGGCCAGACGGCTTCCCCTCAGCCTTCCGCCCCAGAAAGCAGAGGGCGGACTTGAGTCTTCTCACGCCTTGTGTCATTTGAATTGGGCAGGCTGTCCTGGAGGAAGCAGACATTCGCATAGCTGACATTAAGAGAGCCATGGTGGATTTTGACAAAGGAATAGTCAAGACCATCACCAAGAAGAAGGGGAGCGTCATCGCCTCTGATAAGGTCCTGCGGTACATGGAAGACCGGATTCGCTCCAGGGTGAGAGGAGGCCATGGGGTGGTCCGCCCGTTCTTCTCATTTTCCTGTCAGAAATTAGGTGCCAAGTAAGGACAGGACACGGGGGTGTCTTGAAACCAAGCACCCATCAATGCTGCTGTGGTTCAGTGTCGGGAACCACACGTGCCAGTAACCAAACTACGACTCCGAGCAATCCTACCTGTGCTAAGTGAAACATAAGCCTCTGCCAGTGGTATGGAAAGGTGCCTAGAGCCACAGAAAAGGGTTTGCGATGCCTGCACATTGTGTAGTCCCTGGAGAATAGTTGGATCCTGAGCATGGCCAAGAAATATCTCTGCCTTTGCCTAGGAGTTTTTTTCCAGAGGGATTTGCTGATTTCATCCTAGAGAGGGAAAGAGCCTCTCCCACCCAGCCATAAAGGGCAGGGCAGGGCAGACCCAGAATCGTGCAGAAACCAGGTGGCTCTCTTTTCTAGGATGCCCTGAAAGAGAAAATCCGCTTGAAGAACGACTCCTTAAAAGTCCAGAGGAAGAAGTTGCAGCTGCAGCTCAAGCAGGTACTTGAGATTTTCAGGAGGTTCTCCAAGGGCCAGCCTGGTGGGTTTGACGAGGGCAGGGCCGTCTCTCGGGTCCTGGTGGTTTGCCTTCCACGGTCAGCCACAGGGCTGGCCTGGCGTTGGCCTCCGAGGTCTCCCACAAGGCTGGTGTGTCTGTGACCCTTTCTCTCCTTGGCTGGCCTGCAGAAGGAGGAGCTGGGGGAGGCGCTTCACGAGGTGGATTTCCAGCAGCTGAAGATTGAGAATGCTCAGTTCGTGGAGAAGATCGACGAACGCAACCAGGAGCTGCTGCAGCTGAAGCTGACGGTGGGCAGCACCCTGCAGGTCCTCAACTTCTACAAGGTTAGCAGAGGGGGCTCCTCGCCCCTCATGCCGCGCACCTACCGCGGGCGAGGAGGGCTGGCACGAGGAACGTCCCAGCCCACCTCTGCGCCCCCTCCATGGAGCCCATGAGAGATGATCTGTGTTGCCGGGGCCCCTTGCCTTGTCTTGCTATCCTGCCTCCCTCCCTTGCAGGACCCAAAGGAGCTTACAATGGAAACATTGAACCACAGAGGCCATTTTAAAAAAAATCACAGGATGAAGACAGCAACGAATAGAACAGCGTTAAAATGGACATTAAATTACCACGAGCTTAACCCTAAGATTGTGGTTTGTCGTAAACTTTGCTGGTTGCCAGTTTGTTTCCTGAGCTGATTTTGGGGTGCAGGATCTAACGTCTATGGCCGTAAATGATTTGGCATCTTAATCATCTCAGGAAAGACCTCCATAAACTTAACCCTGCCCAGGAACTTCACCCTTAATTCCCAAGCCCTTTTCTCTCTGCCCACCAGGAAAAGTGTGGCATGGGGTGTGTGGGAAGGAGGGCCCATGGGTGGCGGGAGGGCCATTCTAAAAGGAGTTAACCCGCGTTACTTCTGCATTGCCCAATAATTGGGAGGCAGCAAATGTTTAGAAGATCATGGTCCTTTAAATTTCATAGCCCTGTGGATTCCTTTTCTGTTTTTTTTTATCTTTCCAACTTTAAATCTTAATAGTTGTTGTTGCTTATTGCTTTTAAGAACTACATGCCACTTTCAGTATATGTCTCTATATAGACTCTATATGAAGGCAGGACCTAAATGCTACCTATCAATACGTGGTAGAATAAAAAGCCCAGTTCTGCTGTACCTTAAATACCAACAAGTTCCATGTGGCAGGAACTTCCACAGGGTGTCTCTCAGCAGACAATAGCCTGCAAAAGCTCACATCAAGCAAAGCCTGGGAGTTTTTCATCAGCCACAGGAGTCCGGTCCTCTGCTCAAGGACACCGAGGTCACCTCGCAACCTCTGGCTGCTCCCCTCTCAGTCCAGACCGTGTTGTTTCAGAAGAAACTGCAAAGTGCCACAGCCCTGGCCAGCCAGCTGGTGAAAGACATGGCCCAGAGAAAGGAATCGTTGGAAAAAATCGAGCACGAAGCCATCCTTGTTGGGGAGGTAAGAAGGGCCAGGGGCCAGCTCAGAAGCCGCTCTGCCGGCCGCCAAGTCTGGTTGGGCCAGGGGTTTGAGTAAAAAGAACTCTGGGGGGGGGGGAAGGGGTGGGGGATGGCTGGTCCTTGGCAGAGTTGCAGGCATGGGCTTCTCTGGCTTTCACAGCTTTTTAAAAAACAAAAATAATCTGTGATTTCTGTGGCTCTTGGGCCAGAGTGTGGGAAAAGTCAGAACACTGAGAAGCCGCCCTGTGTCGCCTGGAAACTGACTGGCTTCCTTGCGAGTGTGCCAAGAGCCTGCTAGGGTGCCTTTCACTTGACATGAAAATAGGCAGTCATCCGCTGTGGGCTCCTTTCCCTTTAGAACAATCCCACAAAGATTCTCTGGGCTACAAATTTAATTTTTTTTCATTAAAGCACAACAGGTGGGTTTGGATTCCGCTGAGAACTGGTGTGGTGGAGGAGTTAGAGAGCTAGATTAAGGAGAGGTCAGAACGGAATTGAATTCATGTTTCCAAACCCCGACTTTTCTCAGGCAGAATCGTTCCCCCCCCCGGCCCCCCCGCACAAGGTGCTGCCAATCCTCCGGCAGAAAATGCAGGTCCCAGAGCCAACGCATTTCGTTATCCAAGCGCACGGCCTGTCTTTTCGTTCTTTCGCAGGAGAGGGATACGTCCGAGGTCCTGAACAAAAAGCTACGGAAGCAGCTCGCAGAATACAGAGTACCCCCCATCCTTGACTATGTCCATGAGAAAATGCAAGTCCAGGAACTAAGGAACACCATCCGGATCTGGGAGCGGAAGGTGGAAATTGCAGAGGTAGGAACCTTTTTTTTTGGGAAGAAGACACTCCTAGGTGACGGCACGCACAACGCACGGCTGTCTGGTGCAAGGTTGACCCTCGTGCTGCCGATCTTTCTCTGGGCAGGACCCAAAGGGGGCCCTGATGGGAGTAGAACCCTGGGGTAGGCTGCAGTGGGCAGACAGCAAAAGGGTGAAGACAGTGGTGGTGGCGGGGGGGGAGGGAGGAAAGAAGAATCCTTATGGGGAAAGGGTGGTCTTCAGTGGGGGTGTGACCCTTCCTTATTCCAAGGGTTCCCCTCACAGCACTTCTAGCTTTCTCAGGGACACGGGAGGCTGAATCTGAGGACCAAAGGGGGCCGGGTGGTGGTGGTGGAAGGAGCTCTCCACCAAGACTGCATTCATTCCTGCTTTTATTCTGGGTTCTTTCCCCCCCCCCTTTCTTTCATGTTTTGCAGATGGCTTTGCAGAGCTACCGCAGTGTTTGGCACAAGGCAAAAATGGCCAGTCACCAGCTGCAGGCTCTTCTCCCTCCGCAAGGGGCCCACTGAGAGAGGAGAGAGGCAGGAAGAGGACTTGCCAGGGGTCTTTGGAAAAGAGCCAGGCCCCACACGTCACCTTTCCGCCTTTCCAGCTCCCCTGTCCCTGACCAAACATTTGCACCAGGGCCTCACCACCAAACCCTTACATTTCTCAACGGCCTTTTGGGTCTCCAGGTGCAGCGTCACTTTGTAGAAATAAGGTCGGGCAGGTGTGCACGATAAAACTGGAACAATGCAGAGAGAAATACATTGCGGTTTAATCTACCTCTTTGGAGTCACGTCATCTCCGTTGGGACAGGGCAGGGAGGCAGTAGAAGTGGATAAAGTCTAACTGCAGCACAGGAGCTTCCAGGAGAACCTGACAGAGGAGCCCATCTGGAGGCCTCAGCTGTGCGAGCAAAAAGCCCCCACGCCCTTCTAAATGGCCTCAAGCTGGTCCCTGCCCAGGTCTTATGCCACCCAGCCAAAGGAGAAGGGAGCTGGCTGAGATGAGTCCTTGAAGTCTCCATGGCTGACCTGACACGGCAGTAGAAATGGGGACGAGCTCCCCACCGTAGTAGTCGTAGTAGACAATATCGGACCTGCCTCGTGGCTCGCCTGGCTGCGCCGGGAGTTCATGGCTGTCTTCCCTGGGCTCCTGCGTCCAGTTAAGGCCAAGCTGGATGTCCGAGGAGTTCAGCGCTGTCTGCTCCAGAAAGGGCTTGGCTGCCCCTTTGCGTTGCTCCATGGGAGTCTGGAAGGCAGAGCGCCTCCTGCCACTGATGGGAGAGAGGGGATCCCCCCATTGTGCGGTTGTGCTCACAATCCACTCGCTGTAACAGGAGACCTTGGTGTAGAGAAAGGGCCCGTAGCATCTTGCGCCTCCCTCGGTCAGGATCCCCTTCAGCAGCCACTGCCCTGTCTCCTCTGCTTGGCACACGACGGGGTTGCCGGGGTCACCCTTTGAAAGAGAGGAGCGAAGAGACACCGGCCCACTTCCTGTGGCTCAGTCTGCCACCAAAGGAAGGCAAACGGTGGGATGGAGAGCGTCTTCTTGCCGGCATTAAAAGAGTCCTCATCTGGACGCTCAGGGACGTGTGAGGTCCGGAGGTGAGAGTCCAGGTGGAGGTTCATTAATTGCCAGCTAGAAGATGCTCCTCCTTATGCCGCTTGCTTTCTGCAGGTGTAACGAACGTGCAACATTTTGGCCACTGATTTGCCTAGATCTTTTTTTTAAAACTTGGGTCTTTTTTCCCCTTGGTAAGGATATCTGAGCAGGTCAATACAGGTGTATCAAAACATCATAAAGAACAATAAAAGCATGGGGAATACCCAAGGGGCTCAACAGCCAGGGGCCGTGGGGGGGCAGCAGGCAAAGGCCCACTCCAAAGCTTGGCACCTTGTGGCTCCAGCGAGCTCCTTAAAGGCCTTTCCAAGAGGCCACCTGGGTGTTTCGGAGGAGGCCACGAGACGCCTGGCCAAACAGCCTCCTGATTCCTGAGCCTGCGCAGGGTTTGCCATGGGCCCTTTGCACCCAGATAGTTGAGGATGTTTCTGGTGTTGCTATTTTTACCCACGCAAGTCATATGCAGACAGACACCCCTTAGGAATGGCTGTGTTTGCTTTCCTGCCTAAAGAGGCAGCAAATCAGCCTTTCTGGATCACGCCTCCCAGAGTCGACCAGGCAGCATCTGGAGAGGCCCGAGAACGAAATCTGCACACCTCTAAGAATTACAGCCGCTGCCCGGAGTGTCCAAAGGGTGGGACGTCCTCCGTGCTCTTTGGAAGCGATCTCTCCCGAGGAAAGAGAACTGCCGGCGGTCTCCAAGGGCAGCAGGAGGGAGGGGGCATCCCACCTTTTAAAGGGTCCCCCCCAGCAGGGTTATAGAAGCACCAGGTGACGACTGGCCTCCTCACCAGGCATCCAGGCACGCTGTCGCCGTCCCGGTGGCTGCAACACTCGGTGGTCATGATCCTGTGCAGAGGACAAGGGTCGGCATCCACCACCTGAAGCTTCCAGAGAGAGCTGCTCCCTGTCTGGACCAAACCAGGGAGCCCTGTTTCGAGGTCTTCACAAAATCCAGCTGGCAATGCCACACCACGCACAGCCCCAAACTGGGACGTTCCCATGGGGCCAGGCAACCTTTTCCTTGCGAAAAGGAGGTGTTTTCAGTCTAAACCAGCCATTCTCGACCGGGGCCCTATTGTCCTGCGGGGGGGGGGGGCTGGCCCATTTCGAAGGGGACCACAGACTGGAAACCATTCTTCACACACCAGTTTATAAGATTCGCTATGTGAATTCTACTGCCCCGATTCAGCCTACATTTCTTTCATCTTGTGATTTATGGCCGTGGCCCCAAAAAGAGGTTGAGAAGGCCTGGTCTAAACACACCGGATGGGTAGAGAAGCGTCTCTCCCTGTACCGGAGGGGGAACCGCTGCCTGACTCTCCCGAGGTGTGTGGACCCAACTCGGAGTCAAAGGGGCTCTGCTGGTACAGCCAAACCCTCCGAGGGAACAAGAAAAGCATGTTTCTCTCAAGGCTTTCTCCACCACTGCCCGTCCCAGAGCTCCCTGAGCCCAGGAAGGATGATTGGACAGCAGGTTGGCGGAACCGCGTGCCCTGATGGATCCCAGAGACGGGAGGAGCGTGTGTTGCCATCAGGACTTGGGAAACTGCAGGGCCACAGAGGGGGGGTGGGGGTGGGGGTAAGAGTGGATACCTGGCCCAGAGTGCCATCGCCTGGGGGGGCAGAAGCTAGCTCTGCCGCCCGTTCTGAGCCGGTGGGATTGCTGTGGACCCACTGGGCTTGCAGCCTAAATAAGGAACAGGTCATTCACAGCTGCTTTGGGTGTGGTTTTGTTTTGTTTTGGTCGCTGACACGTTCTAGGATGTCCCAGCGAGAGCCTGGAAGGAAACGTTAGAGCCGAGCAGCCGCTTGGGGTGGAAAACCCGATGGAAGCGCTCAGGGAAAACATCCCCTGGCGAGAGTTTTGGCCGTGGAGAGCCAGAGCCCACCCCCCCCCGGCCCCTGTAGGATCCTTCAAGCCACAAGAGCGGGAC